AAGTATTCTCTAGGTGCATTAAAGACCTAATATAAATAATAAAATTATAAACTTAATAGGAGAAAATATACTAAAATATTTTTGTGATATATAAAGAGGGAAGACCTCTTTAAAAGAAACTTCAACCACATTTGTAAGGCAAAGAAAATCAATAAATATGATTACTTCAAACTTATGGATTTCTGTTTCTTGGTAAGTATTGATAGAAACAAAATGTCAACAACTGACACATTAATATCTAAAAATTATAAAGAACTCTTACAAAGCAATATGAATTTTAAAAAATGATTCTAATAGAACAAACAGGCACAGAATATATACAAGCAATTTATAGACACAAAAGCCCAAAAAGAGGGTAAATAAAGATAATGATGCACAAACCCATTAGTAATTAAAAAATGCAAATTAAATAATGAGTACAATACTACTTGATGCCTGATAGCCTGACAAATAATACCCAGAAAAGAAAAAAAAAGCCAAATAATACCAAATACTTTGGAATGAATGTTTGTGTACCCTAAATTCATATTTTGCAAACCTAATTTTCCAGGTGATAGTATTAGGTGATGGAATGATAGGGAGGTGATTTGGCTGTGAAGATGGAGCCCTCAAGAGAATAATGTCTGTATAAAAGGAAGTTCTCTTGCCCCTTTCACCATGTGAGAACACAGCAAGAAGATGTCTTTGGTGAACTAGGAAGCAGGCCCTCACTGGACATTGTATTTGTTGGTACCTTCGTCTTGGACTCTTGAACCTTCTGAACTGTTTGAAATAAATGTTTGTAGTTTAAGTCACCCATTTTATGAAATATATATTTTTGTAGCAGCCATAAAAGACTAAGATATGCAATTGTTAGCAAAGGTGTGGGACATATGAAACTTTATTTACTGCATATGAGAGTATACACTGATTCAGTCATTCTGAAGAGCAATTGTGTATCCTTTTGTTGAATTAAGTGTGCACATGTCCAACAACCCAATAATTCTGCCCTAAAAGTACTTTCATGGATATTTAAAGGGATCAGTAAGAGTCTGATTCTTGGGGTGACAGGTAAATGTGCAGGCAAGTTATGGCAGATTTAATTAGTAATTATCATGTAACAGTTAATAGCAACGAATTAGATGTGCAGTTAGTGATATGGGTAGATCTTTTTTAAAAAGTTCTGAGCATCCCAGCAGCTTGGAAGGATAAGGTATGAGGATCATGAGTTCAAAGCCAGCCTCAGCAAAAATGAGGTGCTAAGTAACTCAATGAGAACCTGTCTCTAAATAAAATACAAATAAATAAATAAATAAGGTTCTGGGTAAAAATGATGAGACAGAGTGATTTATAAAACAAAAGATTAAAGCCTGTGCCTGCACATAAAACAAAATGCATTTTTATAAGAATGAATACAAATAAAACAATAGTCATGAAGTAGAATAGTTGCTAATGGTTGCTTGCAGGGGCAGCAGTATGGGCTTGTTGGATGAAGAAGAATAAATAAACATGAGAACCATGAAAGGGTCTTGCATATACCTTTCTGATAACATGTCACTTAATTCAGCCTCTATCCCTGAAGTTCCTGCATTCTTAGAAACACATGCTAAACGGAAACTCAAAAGTCCACTTTTAACACAGTTTCCATTACAGATATACCCCTGCCTTTCTCTCACTTCTTTTAAGACATATTCTATTCCTATTTATTTTAATAGAATTTTAGTTAACTTAAAATAGCAATAATGTAAAAGAAAATAGATTTTGAGTTTCTCAACAAATTATACATTTCTTTTTATTCAAAGAATTTATCTTTTTCATTAAAGCATTTTTAGATTCTTTTTTACATTGAGGAGGTTATATGAAGTCATTTAGGATAAGAGGAGTAGGGAAGATATTGGGATATACATGCACATGCAGGCTTCAGGTTCATTTTGTCATTCCTCAAGAATTGATTGGAAATATCATTTTCTAAGATGCTCTGAAGAATGGAAGGAAATATTAATCTGTAAACATTAGTTATTGATTGGGGGATGAGACTGAAAGATAAAAAGTGCACAATTTAATATTGATTGAAAATACAGATTATAAACACCATCAATAATAAGCATATTATTGTAAATACATTGCAATTGAGTACACTATAGACAAGGAGCAGATGGTGACATAAAAAAACGACAATTGAGTGCAGAAAGAAATAAAATGTTGTGGGAGGAAAAGTATTTTTTGACAAAAACAAACCATATACCTGTAATTTCTTCCCTTTTAAAATAACTTTGTGTTTGTGTGCTTCCTTATCAGGAAGTTAATCTGTACCAATTTTGAGTGATGGTTCATGAGAATCCTAAGCAGAACTTTATACAACTGGGTGTATATTTTGCACCCAGTGGAGTGCAAAATGCTCTGGGGGAAAATGCTGCATTTTAATAAAAATTGCTAGCATTTAACTTGAATGTTACATATTAGGTCTGGGTTTTCTGTTATTAATAATATATATACAGGTGATATTAACAAAAAATTCCATCAGAAAACTTCTAAAACTCAAACAAATTCAGCAAAGTAGCAGGTTATAAAATTAACACCCATAAATCAAACATGTTTCTATATAGCAGTGACAAATCCACTGAAAGAGAAATTATGAAAACAACCCCATTCACAATAGTTTAAGAAAAAATAAAATACTTGGAAATCAATCTAACAAAAAAGGTAAAAGACCTCGACAATGCAAATTACAGGACACTAAGGAAAGAAATTGAAGAAGACTTTAGAAGATGGAAAGACCTCTCATGCTCCTGGATAGGCAGAATTAATGTTTTCAAAATGGCCATACTATTTTATATTTTTATATATTTTATATATTTATACAGATTTAATGCAATTCCAAGTAAAATCCCAATGACATTCTTCATAGAACTAGAAAAAGCAATCACAAAATTTATTTGGAAAAATAAAAACCCAGAATAGCCAAAGCAATCCTTAGCAAGAAAAGTGAAGTCAAAGGCATCATAATACCAGACCCTAAACTACACTACAGAGCCATTGTAACAAAAGCAGCATGATATTGGAACCAAAACAGACACATAGACCAGTGGTACAGAATAGAAGACAGAGACAAACCTACATAAATGCAGTTATCTTATACTAGACAAAGGCACCAAAAGCATTCAGTGGAGAAAAGGTAGCCTATTCAATAAACAATGCTGGAACAATTGGAAATCCACATCTAACAAAATGAAATTAAACTCCTATCTCTCACCCTGCATTAAACTCAACTCAAAGTGGATCAAAGACTTAGGCACTAGACCAGAGACACTGTGCTTAACAGAAGAAAAAGTAGGCCCAAATCTTCACCATGTTGGCTTGGAATGTGACTTCCTTATCAAGACTCCTAAAGCATAAAAAGTAAAATCAAGAATCAATAAATGGGATGGATTTAAACTAAAAAGCTTCTCAGCAAAGGAAACAATCAATAACATGAAGAGAGAGCCTACAGAATGGGAGAAAATCTTTACCACATGCACCTCAGAGCATTAATCTCCAGGACATATAAACAATTCAAAAAACAACACTAAAAATATAAATAACTCAATCAATAAATGGGGTAAGTAACTGAACAGACACTTCATAGAAGAAGAATTACAATAGATTAACAAATATATGAAAAAGTGTTCAACATCTTTAGCAATTAGAGAAATGCAAATCAAAACTACACTGAAATTCCATCTCACTCCAGTCAGAATGGCAATTATTAAAAAATAAAACAACAATAATTGAACAACCAATAAAAAAAACAACAATAAATGTTGTGGAGGATGTGGGGAAAAAGGCACACTCATACTTTGCTGGTGGGACTGCAAATTGGTGCAACCATTATGGAAAGCAGTATGGAGATTCCTCAGAAAACTCAGAATGGAACCACCATTTGATCCAGCTATCCCACTTCTTGGTCTATAACCAAAGAACTTAAAATCTGCATAGTAGAATGATGCAGCCACATCAATGTTTATAGCAAATGAATTCACAATAACTAAACTATGGAACCAACCTAGGTGCCCTTCAACAGATAAATGCATAAAAATTGTGATATATATGTATATATATACAATTTTATGTATATATAATATATATATTTATGTATATATATATATTTATTTATCTATATTAAGCTTAAAGAAGAATGAAATTATAGCATTTGCTGGTAAGTGGATGGAGCTGGAGAATATCATGCTAAGTGAAATAACCAATCCATAAAAACCAAAGCTGAATGTTTTCTCTCATATGTGGATGCTAATTCACAATGGGGGTGTGCTAGGGAAGAATAGAGTTACCTTAGGTAGAGGGGTGTGAAGGGAGGGGAGTGGTATGGGGATAGGAAGGTTAGTAGAATGAAACAGACATTATTACCCAATGTACATGTATAACTGTACCATCAGTGGGATTCTATATCATGTACAACCAGAAGAATGAGAAATTATATTCCATTACATATAATGTATCAAAGTGCATTCTACTGTCATATATAACTAATTAAGACACATAAAAATTTTAAAAAAGAAAAAAATAATACATACACATGTAATATTAACATTTTTGTTGCCCTTTCTTTTCTCATATTCTTCAAAAATTTCCTAAATCTTAAAATGTAGTTTTAGGAAAATAAAAATCACATAGTTTTAGAAATAATTATTTATGGTATAGTTAGGCTTTTCTTAGGGAAACATAATAATGGAATTGGGAGGACAATGAGGCCTCAAGTCTCTCATCTTTAAATGAAATGGTTGAGTTAGAAATGGTTTATCAGAATCATCCATTCGATAGTCAGGCAGGTTCCCTTACTTCTCTATCTCCACTTACTCATCCTAGCACATATCAATTTGGCAAGTCTGGTGTGTAACCAAAGAATCTGCAAATTGATTTTCTTGCATGTGGCCTGAAAATCATGTTTTTGGAAATAAAGAAAATATCTTCATAAAATTTCTTCCACTTGCATCATTCTTCAATAAAAAGAATCTTATCAGATTTACCAAAATTTCGCTCATCTCCCGTAAGCGCTCCAACTGGTATGTGCTCTTTTGTCCAGAATTGCTATTGACTTGAAGATCTGAAATTTTAAAGGTGCCATGATAGTATTCCATTTTCTCACCTGTGATGAAAATGGGAAGTAGGAAATTAAAGGATTTGGGCAAATATTTCAGGATCTAAGACATAACTACAATAGGGCTAATATGAAGTCATAAAAATATCATGAGCTTCTTTCTAATTTCATAAAAATTACAATTAAGTTTTATGTTAATAACATTGTCTGGCATTTATTAAGTATAACTATGTGCCTGGCACTGTTCTGTTTACTTTATTAACTCATCTGAGCCTTACACAAGCTAAGATCGACATCACTCCATTTAACAGATGAGGAAAGTAAAATACAGTGGTATTAAGTAACTTGCTCTATGTTATACAACTATTAGGTGACCTATTCAAGTTTTGAATCCTAATTGATCTGGCTCTAGAGTGTGAATGTTCATTACTTCATTTCCCCTTGCTGAGCTGAAATATAAACCACCATACATATTCTACTGAAAGTAGATTAAATGGACATCCTATAAATTCTGATTTGTAATGACAGACCCAGGTATAGCTGCCACAGTCCGGCTGCAGCAAAAAAAAAACTGGGGGGAGGGGACCAAACAACTTGTATATGTTGATACAGCAGGAGTGGAAGCCCTTTATTGTAGGACAATAGAGGTATTTATACATTTTGCATAGCTTATCTTAATTAGCATAAACTAGATACATCAGTCAACCAATAAGGAATCTCCACACTTAATGGCTCGCTTTTGTTACTTCTTAAATCACTCCTTCTGGCATTTTGCCAGGCACCATCCAGACTTGTTTACGAACTCTAACATTTCTCTGGCAAAATACCAGGTGTTATTTTGACTTATTTACAGACTCTAACAATAGCTAAGAAAACATGAAAAGAAAAACTAAGGAAAAAAGCAGTCTGAGGTTGCAGTGAAAACCATTCTAACAGAGATAAGTCATTCAGATTCCTGCTTGGCTATCAGAAAAGGTAAGAAAAGAGAGAGCATTGGAGACTCCTGACAAATTTGGTAACCTTAGGGGAAAGGCTCAGAGAGGATAAGAAAGCAACAAAAAATTCATGACAGAGAATGGAGTAACCTTTAAAAAACCTGGGTTCTTGGGCATCCCAGCTCAAATAGAAAACAATGTGTTTCCTGACTTACTTTCACATTTCAATGGGTACATATTTTCTGATTCTCTTTGGATAAATTCATGTTGCTCTAGCCTTCTTTTACAGAAAGAGGACATTTTGTCTTTTATTTTGGTTAAGGTCATCTTGACCTGAGGGAAGGTATTAGTTAAAAGAATCAGGAAAGAGGAATCTTAGGACTGTCTCCTAAATTGAACATCTCTGGACCATGTAATTTTTTTTCTCGATTACTTATCTAATATAATCCATATCAAACCTTACTCTCATAGAAAAAGGGCTTTTGTGCAATCAAATAAATTTTTAGTCATTCCCATAAACTACAGTTGGACTCATTACATAAGGCCCAGGAGTATGGTCATAATAAGCTTGTTTAGTCTCCTAATGGCAGTGTCACTCCCCCCTCAAGTCTGTAGAAGGTGGAAAGAGACAATACCATTCAAGTAAGAAGCCTGGGCTACTTATTTTACCACATACATTCATATGAGAATGGCTTTTTAGAGATTTGTCAAAAAAAAAAATGATTCTGCCCACAGAGAGATGGCAAATACAAAGAAAATTTCCTAATGCAGTACTTGTAATCACAAACATACTAGGTAATAAAAATATAATCCTTGCATATTGTTTTGAAAGAATAATTTTTTTCTTTAAAACTTAGTGATGACATCATGTTATACTTTATACATTATTTTGAAATTCATTCTTTCATCAGAGACATGTTTTTCTTTTATCTTAGAAATGCTAGTGGGCAGAAAATGGTGATCATAGTACAAGAGTCAATTTTCATGACATCACAGTTTTTTATTCAATATATAATAGATGGTGAGAGTTGTTTTCTATGATTACTAGTAAACTAAATTTAAGAATGAAAATTTTTGACATTTTATGTAGATTCTTAGAATAATACTGGATTGGGAACTCTAATGGAATAGAAGATTCATCCACTTTGCTTAAAGCTATATCCAGAGCACACAAAAAAGTATTTGTATGAAATAGATATTTAGTAAACTATTTCTAATGAAATTACAGAGTACATTTTAAAAATTCTGAATGGGGACATTTACAGGTAAAAGTATAAATTTCATTTACATACACACAAATGAAGCTTTGCAGATAAAGGAAATAAAATTGAGTGAAATACCTAATTTTACTCACCAGACACTAAGAAGTGAGTCAGAAGGCCAATGATCAGTGCTACCACTGTCAGTGACAACAAAATGAGAAGCGCAATTATCCATGGCTTTAGCTTTCTGTTTTGGGTGCCAAATCCTACAGGTCTGCAAAAAGAGAAGCCCAATGGTTATTTTCACTTTTCAATGTGTGTAGATTTATTGATTCTCCTTGGATAAATTTATGTTTCTCTAGCTGCCTTTTACAGAAAGAGGACATTTTGTCTTTTATTTTGGTTAAGGTCATGTTGGCCTGAGGGGAAGTATTAGTTAAAAGAATCAGGATCTGAAAATCCTAATGCTGTTCCTTGTTTCTATTTCTACAGGCATTTGGTGGCTAGGTCTGGTAGAAAGTAGCACATGTGCTTTTTTTTTTTTTTTTTTTTTTAAAGAGAAAGAGAGAAAGAGAATTTTAACATTTATTTTTTAGTTTTTGGTGGACACAACATCTTTGTTTCTATGTGGTGCTGAGGATCGAATCTGGGCCGCACACATGCCAGGCAAGCGCTCTACCGCTTGAGCCATATCCCTAGCCCCAACGCATGTGCTTCTTGAAAAAGGACCATTCCTCCTTTCTCCAATGTTTTGTCATCTCTTTTAATCTATTCTTTTAGGATTTACACAGTGACTTCAAATATACTATATTTCTTACCTTATTTTATTTTGAAATATAATGAAAAATTTCAGATATATAGAAAGTTAGAATTATATTTAAACATCTATATGTCAATCACCTTTTTATCAATTGTTAATATTTTTGCTGTATTTTCTTCATTTTTTTGCTGCTGCATAGTGAAATCATATATCATTACTTTTTGCTAAATCATTACTATAATCAGTTAGAATGTGTCTAACAGAATCAGTACCTCATTAAAATTCCTGAAAAATTAATTCTTCTCCAATATCTTCTAAAACTCATTTGGTATTTATGTTTGCTTTATTGTCCTCATTATATTTACTAATGATTTGTAGAGATATAATCAAGGACCATGTAGCAAATATGGTCATTATATTTTTTAAGTGTCTTAATCTAAAGGGGTCTTGCTTCCTTAAATTATTTTTAATTTTTATTTTTTTAATTTTTTGTATTAGGGATTTAACTCATGGGAGCTTAACCACTCAGTCATATCTCCAGACCTTTTTACTTTTTATTTTGCAGTAGGGTCTTATTAAATTGCTGAGGCTGACTTAAAACTTGTGATCTTTCTGCCTCAGCCTCCCAAACCACTGGGATTACCACCACATGTGAGTGCCCTTTTAATTTTTAATTAGAATGGCTTGTTGAAGAGATCAAACTAATGGACTTGTCTGAGTGCTTTCTTGTGGTGTCAATTAACTTGCTGTTCTATCTCTATCATTTCCTATAAGCTGGAAGTTAGATCTAAAGCCTTGATTTGATTTTGGTTAAATACATTTGGCAAGCCTACTTCAAATGCAATGCTGCTATATTGTATCACACCAGGAATGGAGGAAACTCCAATTTTGGAGGGAAAAAAAATAACTCTGCTTTTCTTCTTTTAGCACCTTGTAATTAACAGTTATGTTTATCAAGTATTTGTTTGCTTGAATATTTATTTGTTTGTATGACTATTTAACTGGAACTCCTCAATACAATGCACAAATATTGTTCATCTTTTACTATTAAGTCCTAGACTGGTGCTTGATACAGAGTAAGAATTTCATTAATCTCTGGATGTCAGGCAGGTATTATACCAATCATACATATGAAATAACAGAGGTTAGGAGAGATACCTGCTTTATTAGAGTCAAGTGCCTTAGGAGGGCCCACTTTATTAGTTTATCATTTCATGTGTGTATATTAACAACCAAATTTTTAGTGGAGTAAAAGATATTTCTCATATTTTCTTCACAGGATTTATTGAAATGCTTTGTGCTAAGTATACTTTAATAAATATTTGTTGGTTTACAAGAAATTTTTCTTTTGAACGTAAACCATTTTTATACAAATGCCAGGATAAAAGGTACAAATAATTTGCCTAAATTGCTAAGAAAATAATAGATTGAGCATAAGAAATGAATGTAGCCAATAAACCAAATAGAATTTGAAAGATATGAATTCTGTTGAGTATAGAAAATAGCCAACCATATGAGCACTAATTGATTAAAAATGATCTAGAGAATTTATTGTGAAAAGGCATTGTGTCCTCTGATAGACAAGCTCAGTACTCTCAAATATAACAACAGATGAAAGGTCCACAGGGTATGACATTATGTAATACCCTAAATGGCTTAAAACCTAAACTCAGGAATAAACAAAAATTAGGGATTATTTAGTATAATTTAATCACTTTCCAAATGAGGAAACTGAGGTTCAGAGATTCTAAATGGTTTCTCCCATAAAATAGAATTTGTAGTTTCTCAAACTCAGGTCTTCTACCTTTTAGGACACAAATTTATTCTCAGTGCTAGACTGCCTTTCCACTGACTGCATTTTAAATCTTGAATACATTTATCAGTTATGTATTCATCTATTCACTCACTCATATATTTTCTACTTGTTAGATCTTTCCTTTTCTCAGAGAATCTTAGCAGTGTGACTTCAAGTCATTGGAAAACAAAAACAGAACGAAAAAACAATAGGCTAGAACTCAAGGATATTTACAAGCTTTGTACTCATCTCCTGTTTATGGTACTGTTTCTCTGAGTTGAACAAATGGAGAAAGTGGATAACAGAAAGCTTACAACCCTGCTGCCCAGGCACACATAAACTCACATTCTTATGGACTAAATCATGGGTCATGAGCAGAAGAGTGATTCAATATTATTGATACTCTGCTCAAGTGCCACAGAGGTCAAATCTTCAAATCCCATAAAGGGAGCTGTGAGCATCTGGTGGAAAATGTTTACCAAAAACTAGTGTTAAAACCTTATATTTAGACTGTTTGTCCTTATAAGAACACCTTGGGGAATACAGGCCATGCACAACATTGAACTGTAAAATCTGAAGAAGCTATGCATTAAAGCTATAGCTATTTAATTCTTTATGAATAAACTTTCAGCTTACTACTGAAAGTTTATGGATATAAACATGCAATACATGGAAACAAAAATGTGTCATCACTTTCCTATTCTGGGGAAAGTGTATTAGTCATTTGCTTAAAATCACTTCAGATTTGAAAAGACATAAACTTAGTAAAGACTTCTGGAATCAAGCCTATTTGAAAGCACAAATGGAGCATTTTGTTTGTGTATTTTTTTTCCTGCTTTACTCACACCCATAAAACAAGCACAGGTGTACTGTTTTTCTGTTGCCATGTCAAAAATTACCACATATTTTGCACTGTAAAGAAATATCCATTTATTAGCTCCCAGTTCTGTATGTGGCATGATTGTATGAGAGCTCTTCTCAAGCTCTCATACAGCTAAAATCAAGGTGATGTTGGAGCTGCTTTTTCTCATCTGAGATTTATGATCCTCTTCCAAGCTCACTCAAGTACAAAGTAGAATTCAGTTCTCTGAAGCTGAACTGAGGTCTCTAGATTAGTGTGAGATTCAATAACTGTAGGAGGTGTATGTATACTATAGGATAGGGATCTTGTGGCCATCTTAGAATTTTGCTGACCATAGCTAAAAATATTGACTTTACTGAAAATTGATGGAAAACTGTAACCTTCAAAGAAAGCATGTGAGAGTTAAACTTCTTTAATTTTTATAGAGGGGAACTACTCCAGGAAAACAAAATTCTATCCTGGGTAGAAAACTTAAAAAGACAAGGGGGAGATTTCATTCAGGTAATAATTTCATGAATACAAAGTGAACTGTTGGCAATTGAAATGGAAATAGATCTAAAGGTAATCCCTAATCATGAGGTGTACTCTGCGTTGGCACGCTGCATTCTTTTAAGGAAAGGGAAAGTATAAATGATTCTTATTCTGAGCAACACAACCTATAATTTCTGTGAGATCCAATTTACCATATTTACTAAGCCTTCATTCAGGCAATATTATTAAGCTTGTATAAAGGTGTATTCATGTCATGTTTTTTTTTTCCTTTAGACTCTGTCAAAGAACCATGGTAATAATTGATTTTGTGAATTTACATTCTAAAATCTTAAAAACTAAAAGAGACACACGTTGAAGAATACATAAAGCAATATGGATTGTTGAGGATCGTAGTTGGAATATGCAATTTCTCAGTAATTTCCTATATGTGAGTTCAAAGATAACTTGAGTTAAGCAAAGTATATTATGAGCCCCCTCCCCACAGGGATCTGCTTTTTCGCTAAAAGACAGTCACCATTTCAACCATATGTCCTTTATCATTTTATCTATATGCTCCAAATCTTTCTTCTTTCAGGTTTAGTTTTCTGCTTTCTTGCAAATATATGTTATCATTATACAAATGCAGGTGTATGTGACTATTATACAAATTCCCATGTACAGATCCGTTATGTTCCCACAACCCTTAATAAAAAGTATTTTGAAGTTCAGATTACACTGTCAGATATAAAAAGGAAGAAATTGTTGCACAGCTTACCAGGTCAACCTACAAGTCTACTTAACCCCTAATGTAACTGAACAAAGATGCTAAATGTACTCCAGGAAGCCAATGCATGCAGAAAACTTTGTTTTCCTTTTCCTAGCCTGGAGACAATGAACCAAAGTGCTGTCTCTTCTTCCACCAGTGAAAATTGTGATTCCCTCTGAGCCACTAAATCAGTCAATTCCTACAAGGACAGCAGTTTTTCATGACAACTTTATATGTTCTGATATATAGATATCTGGGTATTCTGTAAGTCTCTGAGAATGAACATTTAATACCAAAAGTGATAGGAGCAAGAGCTACTATTTTATTGATATATTATCACATTTCCTTCTTCAAACACTCTTGTCATTTCACAGGTGAATAACTGATGGATGAATAACTTGCTCAGTAGGCAAAGATAGGATTCAGCTTTTTTTAAAAAAAAGTATTTTTATTTTTACCCAATGTGTAGTAAGTTGACATGTTTATGGGATACTGTGTGATATTTCAATACATGTACACGATATATAATCATCATATAGGAGTAACTGTATATTGATGACATCAGATATTTATCATTTATTTGGGTTGGAAACATTCAAAATTCTATCAAGTAATTTTTT